AAAAGTGCCGCCATTTTAAAAATATTTTCAATTAGGAGGACTTAATGGTATTGGCTATGTACCAATTTTCAAATAATACGATTATACAGAGTGGTTATAAATGATTTTCATCTAGCCAGCTTTTTAATTTTTTTGCATGTAACTTTATTTGTGCCGCTCTACTTTTTTTGAAAGCTCTAGTTCTGTCATTAGTGTCACTTATTAATTAATAATAAATTGTTGTTAATTAAATTTTTATTGTTTCAACTAATTTCTAATAATAATTGATAATAATGTATACTTTGGAAGAAAACAAGTTCATAATTGAAGTCTATTTTCGAAATGGACGCTTAGTAAACGGTGATTTTTTAATTTTGAGTTACAACAAGTAGGTACCCCTATTTTCGTAAAGCGGCATTTTTTATTTTACATGGAAAATTCACAGCTGGTTAGATGAAAATCATTTATAACCACTCTGTACCAACTCCCAATACTTCTAATGTGGGGTTTAGACGGAACACCCTATATATTTTACGGATTTTTCGTGCATATAATCCGAGCCTTACTCATCACGGTTTCCTGTCACAATTTACTTAAAAATTATTTTGACATTTTGTCATTTTATCTTCCACAGACACACGTTCTAAATTTCGACGCTTGCATAAACACTGTATCAATAGTGCATTGGTGTTGAAAAATGTCATCTTGACAAATAAATTGTAAATTTCGCCAGTATTGCTCCTCTTCCAGGTGATTTTGCGTATTTTGCATCCATTTTTAAATTCAAAATAACAAAAATGACGCGGAAATACTCGAATGTGATTGGTCTATTCCATATCTTACCTGTCGCCACCTGTGAGCCGCGCCCTAAACGACCCTGCTCATCGGCTGGCAATCCGAAGTCGACCCAGCACGCACCCGATGCCATTACGATTGCGCCGTTGCATTTCTGCCCGATCTGTCACTCCGAAGTACACATTCCAAGTGCTGGGTCACCTCCTCCCGACACTGTGCCGTGGTAAGTCGCCGTTAAGTGAGTACTTTTCCCTCAATTTTCCTCCCTCAAAACTCACCATCCTCGCACAAAAAACGAAAATCCCAACTCAAACCCCTTCGCGGAACTGCCTACTGTGTCTATTTTATTCATTTGTTTTGTACTTGCTGGGCAACGGCGACTTGGTCGAATCACAAATACCGACATCTTGCGCCATTATTGCCTCCAAGTGTCATTTCAGCCCGGATTTTCATTGTTCCGGGGATTATTAGTGCGGGGATTGGGATTTTCGTTTCGACGAGCAAATCGCGACGGATAATCACAAGTTTCTCATATGATTTTGCACGAATTCGACTCGAGTTGCTGTTACGTAACCCTTGCACCTAGGACGAGTCAGTGTCTCGATAACCTTTGATTTTTGGGCTTTTGCACAGAGACTAACGGAATTGTCCCTTGTTTCAGGTTGTTAAGTGTATTCCAACCGACTAAATTTAATTAAATAAAATGTTCGCCTGCGCTAGATTGATCGCCCCCGCCGCCAGGAGCGCCGTAAGTACCACCCCTATTATTTATCACATTTTTTTCTCCAACTATTTTCACCGATTTTCATAAATCAACCTGAAAATAAGGTTATGTAACACACCTATTGTAATTTTAGCCCAAACTCGGTTATGTAATGTTTTTCACATTGCTTCTAATCTGCTAATCAGACATTTTTACTTCACTTTTTTAAAACTCTGTATCAAGTCCAGTAAACTTTGAACAACATATTTTTAACTAAATTTTATCATTTCATTGATGCATTTTATCGCATTTTGGTACGAAAAACACTTCTTACTCATTGGTAACTTGACAAAAATACGTAAAGCTAACCCAAATGTGTTACATAACACCTGAAAAATGTAATTGACATTTGTATTGCTTGGCCAACTTCATTTTCATTACCTAAATTAAAACTTGGAAAAAGCAGAGCTGGCCTTGAGATTTTGACAAGTCAAATTTGATTTGTTAATAGGGTGACACCTGTCACTCGTATTTTTAATCATTTTCAGTGTTATCAATTGAGGATTTCAACAACAGTTTCATTGCTCAACATCATTATGTTCTGGACATTTTGGGGTTAAGTTTTGACTTTTACACGTTACTATAGCAACCGAATTTAAACTTAGTTTTTTCAAAATTAATATTGACAGTTTTACCACTACTTTTAATTTTTTATGTTTCCTCTTGTGATATAATGAGATTAGATAAGATTTAAAATCAAAGGGCATAGTGGGTGTGTCACAATGATAAAAATATCAATTGTTTTCAAAGTTGGATACTTTTTGTTGAACGTTGAGGAAATAGAGTTAACCATTAGGTTTTTAACTTAACCTTGTGACTTGTCATTTTTTGTTATAATGTTGATTTTTCATTTAGCGATAAAAAAATGGGTTAGTTGATTGTTTTATTTCAAATTCTGCAATTATCATGTTTTATTTATGATAATAAACCATTAATTTCATCTGCAAAAATAGTTGACCGTGACATTAGCTTCTAATGTAATAATTGATAATTTTTTTTTAAACACTGTCACTACTTATCACGAAAAACTCCCAATTTTTGATAAGAGTATAGTTATAGGCAAAAATAATGTCCAGTTTGATGTTAAAATAACAACTTTTTGTTACGTCAAATTTTTATGGCCCACTTTCTTTTTCTTTTGTACAGTTAGAGACAAGATACTTTGGTCGTCATTTTTCTGACACTTAATTGTAATTCAAGCTTTAACGTGAAAATGAATGACAATTTCAAATTAATGACAGCTAATATATTATATTTTCCTATCAAAAATATGTACAACTTGTCAACTATGATTGACAGTAGCTAAAAATAAGGTTAACAGTCCTAAAGCATGCTTTACAATTTAATGTCACTCAAGTCACATTGACGACCAAAGTATTTTGTCTCCAACTTAAGTAGAAGTAAAAATAAATTTCATCACATGTATGAAGTTTAAATTACAGATTTGTCAACAAGAAATTACCACCTAGGATTTGAATTTTTAGGAAAATTACGTTTTTGAGGTTGTTTGTAACTAGAATTTTCAGAAGTAATTTTGAATGCTTAGGGTTGGTTACCCTTTGTTGTTGGTGGTTAACGTTTTCTGTCAACTATCAATTGAATTATCCATACAAGCTGACAGTTGGCTTAACCTAATTTTTGACACTGGTTACGATATCTTTTGTTTGTCACCAAAAATCCTAACCAAATTTATAGCAACCTATTCACGAATATCCCTAAACCCTAGGGAGTAATTTCTTCTAATTTCTGGAGACTAAATACTTTGGTCGTCACTTTTTTGACACTTTAATGTAATTCAAGCTTTAATGAATGACAATTTCAAATTAATGACAGCTATTATATCTTTCTATCAAAAATATGTACAACTTGTCAACTATGGTTGACAGTAGCTAAAAATAAGGTTAACAGTCCTAAAGCATGCTTTACAATTTAATGTCACTTAAGTGACATTGACGACCAAAGTATTTTGTCTCCAACTGTACGATAATATAATTTTATATTTTTAATTTTGTAATGATGACGAAATACCGATCACTGAAAACTGTGACGAACAAACTTCCTTGGATGTCTGAAGTTGTCAAAAGCTATTGTTACACGTGACATTTGTGATTTTTTGTTTGATTTAGTTTTTTGTTTTTTTTCAGCTTATTTCAAACTCTAAAGTATACTTAAGGCCATTGAGCACCGCCCTCAGCCAAAACCCGTCGTTAGTACAGAGTCCTGTCGTTCAACAACACAAACAAGCCACACTTCTCCCAGCAGTCAGGAGTTTCCAGACTACTCCAGTGTCCCGGGATATCGATTCAGCTGCGAAGTTTATTGGTGCAGGCGCTGCCACAGTAGGAGTAGCTGGATCAGGTTTGTTGTTATTGTATTTTCGTTTATTTAACAAAATTGTGTTTGGTGTTTTTTGCACTAACTAGATACCGAGAGTTGTGTTTTGTGTTTATGTGCACGTTTTTAATCCGTTGCTTGTTTTCAGGTGTTGGTATTGGTATGGTGTTCGGTTGCTTGATTATAGGATACGCTAGAAATCCGACGCTAAAACAGCAGTTGTTTTCATATGCCATTCTCGGTTTTGCTTTGTCTGAAGCAATGGGATTGTTTTGTCTAATGATTGCGTTTTTGATGTTGTTTGCTTTTTAATTTTACTTAGCTTTAAATAATAAACTAACAAGCATAAAATGTTGCATGTTTTTGTGGGGTTTGGACGATTTTTTGAAGAGTTTTGTTTTGGGATTTAGGAGCTGGAATTGGAACAGTGTTCGGTTCTCTTATCATCGGCTATGCAAGAAATCCCAGCCTCAAACAGCAACTTTTCTCATATGCCATTTTGGGTTTTGCCCTGTCTGAAGCTATGGGTCTCTTCTGTCTTATGATGGCGTTCTTGTTGTTGTTCGCCTTCTAAAACACTGCCAAAGGAGCAAAGAGATTTTACCATCAATTCCAAAATGTTGCATCAACATCATGTAACTTCACACGTTTTAAATTCATTCAAGCAATAGGACATTTTTTTATGTAGATTACTCTTATTAAATGTATGTCGGAAACATTTCTTTCGATTTGCACTGGATCCAGTGACTTTGGGCTTACGCGTAACGTGTTTCTCATATATTTAATAGAGTCTGTTGATCCATATGTCATGTAATCTAAGTAAAAGTGACTATTGCATATTGTACAGCGTTAGAAATTAATAAATAACTCCTTAGTTGCGATTTTTGTCAATTAAGGCTATATTGGTTCTTTTTTTAAAACGACCTTTGTCCTTACAGTCAGTACTATGTTATTAAGTTATTTTAAAATAAATTGTTTCCATTATGTTTTTTTCAATTTTAACCAAATTCCTTAGTATTTTTCTAGAAAGCAACTTGGTGGTATGTCTGTTTTGAACTTGTAAATGAATTAAAGTTAATAAAAGTTGTACTTCGTGTGGACGCCATTTTAAATATCCAAACCTAACAACTTCTGTAATGAATTTATTTCAAATGTATCATACAAAATAAATAAAAAAATAGTATTGTCCCTTAATCCGAGGAATCGCTGTAATTATTCGGATCAAAATCTTCGTCGTCTTCATCATCTAAATCAAGATCATCCATATCTTGGAAGAGCGACTCATCAACTTTGACCCCTTCGCCTGCATACTTAAATATAGAAAACTAAACAAAAAAATAAAACAAACGCACCATCCTCAAGAAACTTGAGATCAGACTCGTTGAGGGTGACATCAGTCATGAACAACTCCCTCCCTGTTAATTTCTTTCCTTCTTTTTCGCTGATTTCTCGTCTCTTCGCTATACCCATTTCATCTTCGAATATCGTTTTCCACTTGAGGAACGTTTCAACTGTGACTCTTGTCCCCTCAAAACGTTTCTAAAACCTCATTTTTGTTAAAGTTTCACAATTTTGCCATTTACCCTTTCTGCTTCTTCCTCTTCTTTTAACTTCCTCGCAGCTTCTTCATCCCGCTCCTTCTTCACCCCCTCCCATCGCACATTCAGCCACTCCTGTGCTGAGGAAACTAGAGTAAAAATCATAACCATGCCTAAATTTTCCTGTACTTGGCCTTTGAGAAAATCTAATAAATCGGACTCGTAGCCATCCTCGAAGTTTTCACAGTTTTCGAGTTCTATAATTGGGGACTCGTCGGGGTATTTCGGTGTGTATGTAAAGACCATATCGCAGGACAAACCCGTGTTTTCGGTCTCAGGATCATATTCTTCGGACTTGATTTGAATCGAAAATTTGTGGTACGGCTCTGTGCTCAACACTGAAACAAAGTGACTGAAAAATGCTCACATTAATGCGGGACTTACGTCTTAAATCCCCGAAATAAATTGACTCAAGAGCCTCTATTTCCCCCTTTTGCTCTTCAGCATAGTCCATTTTTTGAGGTTATAAAAAAACTACCAGCGCTACCAACCTACCCGACATAACCTCAATTGTGTAACAAAAAATGGCAAATTTTCTGAAAAACATTAATATTTCTAAAAATATTCAACGATTTTACTTTCGGACTCGTCGCTACGATTGGGCGGACGAAGGAATCCAATACCCCGGGTTTAAATACTACCCCAGGTAAATAAAATTTGAGGTTATGTCAATTTTTGCTCAAATTTGTTTCAGGTACCCCGACTTTAAGGACCCCCCATATGAGCCATCGAAACTGTTCCGAGTTCAGCGCATCAAACACCTGAAAGGTGTACCCCATTATGAGAAACATATCTTAGCCGAATTTCAATTGACTGGAAAACTGAGTGATGTAGTTATTGTAAAAAATATCCCAGAAAATAACCAGAGATTGTGGAAAATAAAACACTTGGTGGAGATAAAACCGATCACGTTCCCTGATGGGTTCCCCTCTAGCCCTAAAGGGGCCGTGTTGAAGGAAAATGGGGAGTTGCGAGTCACGAAAACTTTAGAGCCTTCAGAAGAACGGTTGCAATTGACGGAGAGTTTCAAGACAAAAGGTGAAAGAATGGATGGGGATACCCTGAGGAGGGATTCGCGGAAAAAGTGGTTGAATGCTTGGGATACAACTTTTTAAAACAGATAAAATTCCTATCATTTATTAAAATATATCTCAAAACATGAATTTAAATAATGTAACTTATCGCCTATTTTAAAACTTATTTAACCGTGTGTTTGGTCATCCTCGACGAAATCCCTCGCCACCTCCCGAGTGACACACTCCACATGACTCACTTTATTCCTAAACTTAACCCCATAAAACTTATGCGCATGCTCCAACAATTCAGGCCTGAAAGTCGTAGTAATAAACTGGGCCTCACTTGACAATTCATGAATCATATTTGCCACCGCTTTCCTATGTTGGGCATCCAAAGCTTGATCGATTTCGTCAAATAGATAAAACGGTGCAGGATCACACTTTTGTATGGCAAAAATCAATCCCAAGGCCACTAATGACTTTTGCCCCCCTGACAATTGATTCATTTCCTTCATCTCGGCGTCAGATTCAGTGAACGAGACTTTGATCCCGATTCCACTGAATTGATCCGAATTTGTATCTTCAGGTCCCACATCGCGGCCTTCTTCATTATCGACTGTCTTCAAGACCAGTTTGGCCTTACCTGCAGGTACTAATTTTTTGAAAACTTCCGAAAAGTACTTCGACACTTGCTTAAAAGTGAATTGGATGGCTTCGAGTTTGCGCTGTTCCAACATTGCGATGAGTTCTTTGATTTTTTCGCCACTACAAATCATAATTATGACAAAATTACAACAAAAAGTGAAATTACCCTCGATCTAATTCCTCTTTGCGCTTCTGCAACTTTTCCTTCTGATCCGAGAAACTCATAAACTGGTCCAAGGCTTTTTTGTTCACGTGACTGAATTTTTTCAGCTGGTTGTTGGTCTTCTCCAACTCTTTGAAAAGCTGAAAATTATTATTATTATTATTATTATTATTATTATTTGAACCGCGAAAAAAAGAAGAAAAAATCTTGGCACACAATTATACAAGACATAATTAATAATGAAAAATCTATTGGATTAATTATATTTAAGTGAGAATTTTTTTCTATGTAAATTAAATAAATTCAAAAAAACAGGGCGCCCATTTTTTCTTGATAAAGAAAATCTTTCAATAGATGATTTTTTCAAAAGGTTTTTGGGTGGTGTTTTCTAAACTGAGAAAACAGTGTTCTGATTTTAATATTATTCATATCTGTTTTTGTATTTAATAACCCAAAACGAATAAACTAATACCCCTATTTCAAATGTTATAACTTTCATAAATTTTTTTGAATTTAATTAAGTTTTAAGCAATTATTTCGACCTTATAATGAAACTATCTACAAGTTTTTCTTTGATATTTCTATATGATATTAATGATAACTGTTTGAAACCTAAATACAGGGTGTACACGAGTAATAATGAGCCTGAAAATTTTTTTGAAGCAACCATTTCATAGATAACGTGGATTTGTTTACTGTATTTCTTAAAAATTCATTTTTTTTTTGAAAACTTGTTTGAACGTCTTTCCGTCTGTACACATGCGACAAATTCTTCTGGTGGTACATTTTGCTAATTTTCTGTAAAAAGACTGAAAATTGCAAAAATTTCAAATAAAAGGAATAATTTTTTTAGTAAATTATGTACTATATTTTTTGTTTGTTCAATTCATTATATTATAACTATCATTATGACGTCATCACCTATTTATCTTTCTGTTTTTAGCTATTAAAATTAAAAGAAACAAAGCAAAATTAATTATTCGAAAATTGACAAAAATGCTAATACCAAGAATTAATTTTTTCAATTTAGTTTCGCACCTTCTGATTAATATACTATTGTTAAATTAAATTTCTAATATTAGTGAAATGTATGCAGCAAATCGATTATACATTTGCATAAGATAAGATGCATACTATCAATATTTTGAATCGGAAAAAAAGCAATTTTATTAAAAATTTAAATATAATTTTATAAATTAGTAACTAGATTACTTTGTTCTAAAAAAGAACTCCTAAAATATAATTTATAATGAAAATAAATAAAAGTGTAAGCCTTAATTCCAAGGTTCCTTTATAGAAAAAAGAGAAAAAATAATTTTTTTAGAGTTAGAATGAGATTTGCTCGTTTCAGGCGAAGTAAAAAATGTTTTTCCTTTGCAGTTTTGGCGTAAAATCAAAGATTTTTTTTATATAAAACATTACAATTATTTTAATAAAATTAATACCTACATTTCCATTAAAACTGACTCTTTCTAGAAATGTAAATAAAATTAGTCGTTTATTTTTGATTTTGTGTTAAAATTAAGTATTTTCAAAAATTTGTTATGTTTCAAACCAGAAGAATTTAAAATACTGAAAAGTGGACTTATAACTAAACAAAACCATAGGACTGAGTTAACCACCCTTAAAAATGCCCCTTTTAATTTGATTTGGACCTGTTTTTAGATTATTGTTTTCTATTGCTAAATTTAAAGTAGTTTCCCAAAAGATTGAGGAACATATATAAAAGCAGCATCATTTACATCTAAATGATTATTATAATTATAATATCACACTTCTTATTTCTAATAATTACCGATCGTGATGTCATTTTCACGTAGTGGGAATACAATTCCTGTGCTGGGAGTGCTCCCAACTGGTTAATTTTTTCGACACATTCTTGTATTTTTTGTTCAAGAAGATTTTGTTTAGTTGCATATTTTTCCAAATGTTTCGCATCCTCGTCGATTTTATCTTGGGCGTCTTTTTCTTTTTTCTTCCAATTATCTAATTCGCTTTGTTCGGTTTTTAACTAAAAGAGAAATAAAACACATCATTAATTTTTTTTCTACTAAACCACTTACTCTTTTAGCCATTTCCTTCACTTTAGTCTCCATCGAGATCAACTCCCTGTTAACCTTCTCAATCTTCCTGTCAATCTCCTCTAGATCACTTTTCGAATTCACTAATTGTCTTTTTCTATCCTCCAATGAGATCTCCTGCAAGGCATGCAATACCTCATCTCGTCTCCTAATCAAGTTATTTGTCAACAAATTCTCTAATTTATTTTTCTCAGCTTCCAACTTCATTCTTGTACTGAACGCTTCTTTATTTTCCTTTTGCAATCGTTGAATATCGTCGTTTAACGAATCAACTTCGGCTTGATCGGCGAACGACAACTGCGATAACAACTCTTGGTGAAGCTCACTTTCGAGGCCCTCTTTAGTCGATTGCATGGCCTCAAGACTCGACTTGCATTGGGCGAGGGAGCGTTCTTTAGGCCCCCTAAATCTTTCAATATTCGACAACTCCTCTCTCATTAATCTCAACTCGCCTTTGACTTTATCATAAATCCCTTTCGCTTTACTGTTTTTAGTTTCAGTTTTCTGCATTTCAGAGACAATACTATTAATTGACGCTTCGGTTTTGGTCAATTCCTCTCTCAAAGACTTTAATTCATCCTCACATTGGGAGATTTGTTGGATTGTTTCGCTTCGGTTTTTCTGCATTTCGAGTCGGGAACGATTCGAATTGAAATAACCCCCAGTTAGGGACCCTTTTGACGAAACTTGATCACCTTCCAAAGTCACACAATCGAGACCGGTGGTTCTTGCAAGTTTTGTAGCGACATCTAGGTTTCGACAAATTAATGTTTTGCCAAACAAATAACGCATAGCCTTGTCGTATTTCGGATCGTAGTGTAACTTTGACACCATTGCTATGGCGTCCTTGAAATAAAATTATTAACTGTTTTTTTTTTTGTTTAATATTTATTTTATTTACCGAATCGTTTGGGTAGGCAATATCCCTGACATTGAGCCGATTTAGAGGCATAAAAGTCACCTCTCCTGGTAGTTTTTGTCGATTCATTTCCTTCAAAATCTGCGTCCCGACTTTATCCGAATCGATCACGTGATGAAAAAGCCGATTTCCGGCTGTGACCTCCACAGCCGTGTAGATACTTTTCTCACAATCGAAATTTTCAATAACAAGGCCATAATATGACTTGACAATTTCGGCTTCGCGGCCCCCACGACTCACAAACGTGTCCAAAACTTTTCGGACGCTGTCTCGTCCATTAAGAATGGGTTTACCGGCCATTGAACGCAACTGTTGATCGGCTTTTGCTAAATCTTCTTTGAGTGAGGAGAGGTTTTGTTGGACGTTGTTTTCTTTACGCCATAATTCGCTAAAATTTTGGTTTTATATTAAGGAAAATTTTAAAAAGTGTTATTACTTTCTAGTAGCTTGATATTGGTCTTTGTTTTTCTTCAGTTCGTAACACTGTTTGTTGTGTTCGTCAATGCAGTTTTTTTGACGTTCTAATTCTTGAGATTGTTCTTCGATTTTTTTGGTGAGTTCGATGGTTTTTGCAGCGTCGCGTTTCAAGTCGGCTTCGAGTTTGTCGCGGTGCTCGCGCTTGTCTTTCAGTTGTTTATTCAACGATCTATAATAGAAGAATAATTAATAAAAAAATATCTATTTTTTAGAAAAACTATAAATATGTGATGTTTTATCAAGAATAAAATTTTTCGAAAATTCCTTTTGTTTTTGAGTTTTGCAAATTTTTTTATTTATTTAGATGGAAACCACTATAAAACCATTTTTCTCATGACGATTATGATATCCACGTTATATTTATTTTTTATCAATTTTTCTTTTACAAAAGATGCCATTTTGACAAAAAAAATCGCATAACTCAAAAACAAAACAAAATTTCATTTTCAAAATATAATCACATTTTTTATATTACTTTAATTTATACAGGGTGGGCCAGAACTCGCGTCCCAGAGAAAATTTTCAAGAAAGCTAAGATACCAAGAATATGAAAAAAATGTTTAAAAAATTTTGACATTTGACATTTTTTAATATCTATTTAATGATACTGATGATCTTGTACATGTTTTTTTACAATTATTTAGTAAAGGAACAAAAATTTTGCCAATAAAAGCCACAAATAACATTGAACAGAGTTACAATTTAGGATACAGCTTCCTTGTTTCCTCTTTTAATAGCCTATAGCACAAAAAATTTGGAAAATTATTTTTCCAACAGAAATAAATAGAGTCAAAGTGCAAACTTTAAACTCCCATAACTTCGAAATTTTTATAGATAATTTTTTTTTAACATTTTTTCCATGTTCCTGGTATCTTACCTTCTTTTCTTATTTTTCTCTGAGGCGCGAGTTCTGGCGCACCTTGTATATTAACTATTATTTTCTGCAAGCAAATGATTTTTAAAAAAACGCTTGGTTTAATACTTTATATTCACCCTGTATAAATTATACAGTGAGCGGCAAAATTATGGAATTATCATATTAAGATATTATGTTTTGGCAAAAATGAATTTTCTTTTTAAAAAATACACAATTTTGAACTTGATTTAAAAATTTACACCTTTGCTTTTAGTTTTTGAGTAATGACATCATGGACATTTTAAAAAAATGGAAATCCCTAATTTTTTTAGCCAATTTGATAATTTTTTAATTGTCGAAATGACCAACACCAAAATATTAAATATTACAAGTTTTCGGAAAAAAAAATTATCCAAAAAGTGAAATAATACCAAACAAGAAACATACAATTTTAAATCAAGTTGAAAATTTTGTATTTTAAAAAGAAAATATTTTGTTTTAATAAATTAGATTATTTCGTAATTTTACCGCTCACTGTGTATTGTAATATAATTATAAAACACTATTATACAGGGTGACAAAACTCGCGCCGCAGAGAAAAATTGGAAAAAATGTTTAAAAAATTCTCTGGCAAAAAATTTTGACATTTGATGATGTTTTTTTTATAATTATTTAGTAGAGGTAGAAAAATGTTGCCAATAAAAGCCACAAATAACATTAAACGGAGTTACAATTTAAGATACAACTCTCTTGTTTCCTTTTCTAATAACCTGTAGCAAAAAAATTTCGAAAATTATTTTTCCAAGAGAAATAGAGTCAAAGTGCAAAATTTAAACTCTCATAACTTCGAAATTTTTATAGGTAGAATTTTTTTAACATTTTTTCCATGTTTCTGGTATCTCACCTTACATGGAAGGCATTTTTTTTCTGGGGTGCGAGTTCTGGCGCACCTGTATAACATTAATCATACAGGGTATAACGAAAAGATGGAAACAAAGACTAACCTGGGATTCCCCAGGTCCAAATAAAGCGATTTAACCCAATTTACCTCTATACCAAGTTGCATCGTTTAAAAGTTAGAAAACGCCAATGAAATTATGATTTTTTTGTTTAAATTGATAATTACATTATTGTTACCTAACACAAACATACATTAACACACAGTTTTTAAATACAATTTTAAAACATCTATTTAAATTATTTCTTTACTCTAAAACCAAGGCCGATACAAAAATTGTTTAAAAACAATGTACGTTTCGAATAAAAAAAAGTTGTCCATAAGCAGGTATTTTACAATCACAATAAAATAAAAAAATAGCACAAAAACATCTGGTTTTGACTATTACAGATTTCATAAAAATCGATTAATCTATTAGAAAGTTATTAAAGAAAAACAAAAATGATTTTTAAACTTTTAAACGGCAAGTTGTGTTAAATCGCTTTATTTTGACCTGAAGAATCTCAGGTTACTCTTTGTCCCCATCTTTTTGTATATTAAATAATAATTATAAATTACTTCAACTCGTTTTGAATCCATCTATCCCTGTCATCCTTAGAGGTAAACTGACTCCCTCGTCCTTGTTTCGCGTACAATTCCTTGCGTTTTTGCTCCTTCAAAGCCAATTCTCTCGTACATTCCTCTTCCCGTTTCTTCATTGCTTCATACTGAGGCTTGACCTTTTCCAATTCTCCTTCTTTTTCTTTGATTGATTGTGTAAGTCTTGCCAATTCATTCTCGGCTCTTTCTTTCGATTTATTATCTCCTTGAACTTCCTCAGACAGATCTTTAATAGTCAAATCCAATTTCGCTTTTTCTTTTATTAAATGCTGCTGGTCATGGGTTAAAATATCGCGTTCTTCTTTCAGACTCGTCAATTCTTTTTTCGTTTCCTTTGTCTTCTTTGTGAGAGTTTTAATATTATCTTGGGCTTTTTTCAAATTCACCGCCAATTTTTCCTGCTCATTCCCAGACTCATTTCTTTGTTTTTCAAGCTGTAAAGGAAAGAAAATGAATTTTTTGAAACATCAATAACAGTCAATACATCAGCCAACTTTCTCTTATTTTCATTCAATTCCACTTCATGAATGATGTATTCCAGGGCACGCCGAATTTTATCATGGTGTTGGTACTGCTTCAACTCCTCTTTCTCCTCCTCTAGAGTACTTAAACGTTCCTCAATCGTCCTCAAAAACTCCTCGATTTTCTCAACCTTGCCCTCAGTCTCCCTCAGAATGGCCATTGACTCATCTCTCCTCTCGTCATAAACCCGCGTTCCGGCCACTTCGCGCAACAATTTGAGACGATGGGCGTCGGGGGCTGTCGCCATTTGGTTGATTTTCCCCTGTTTAACAATATAATAAGGGTTGGAATTGGAGAAACCCGCCGATTCCAAAAGATTCATCACTTCGCTTCGAGGCACCACTTTCTTGTTCAAAAAATACTGGTCTTTCTTGGCCCCAATAACGCGACGCAAGTAAATCTCCTCATGCTCAAGCTAAAACCAAACAAAGTCAATTCAAGTCCAAATAACTGTACAATACGCACAGGAACGCGAGCGTCCGAATTATCAAAAATAATTTCAACGTAAGCCGAGACAACTCGGGGGCCTGTGCCCTCGTGCAGAAGCGCTTGGCGCTGTTCGGGTCGCAAGTGCGAAAACTCGTCGCTTAAAACAAACTGGATTGCTGGAAATTTGGGGGTTATTGGGGCGGATTCGAATTTGGCGAATTACCATAGAAAAAGTTGCTTTTGCCTGAACCGTTGCGGCCCACCACCACATTGTGGCGTTTGTCGAACGGCTCGACCACTGTTTGGTCGCGGTAGCTCTTGAAGCCCTGGATAATAACCTAAAACAGGAAAGACGCCGAGTAAAATTTTCAACGAAAAAGGACACCATTACCTGTTTTATGTGCATTTTCACGTTTATCACCAATCAAGCACCGCACTATATGTAAACAACAACACTTTTTACTATTTTTCGCAAATTAAAAGAAATAATAAACAAACATTTTCAGTTTGCCTCCATTTTGATTGTAGATTTTGACAGTTGACAGTGGCGGATCATTAAAAAAATTAATTATCGGATTAAAAACAATTTATTTTGTTGTGCTTGTACTTTTACGTTATTCCAGTCGTAATAATGCCCCAAAATTGTTCTCAAATTCGTTTTAAAATGCTTATTGAGATTGTTAGACTTGGCGTAACTCTAACCACCACTTGCCAACGTCAGAGTGATGTAATGTTGGTTGTCTAGTTGTGTTGATTAAATCGAAGTGAAAAATATGTTTAATTAAAATATTATCGCAAATTGTATTGGAAGAAAACAATTACAGTTCAGAAAATGTCTTTATTTTGGCAATAATTCAATTACGATGAGTGATAAATCTCCGGAAGTCGATACACTTATGTCAGAGAGTGGCCCCAATTTGGTTGAAAAACCTCAAGGGGATTCAAAAAGTGAAATTAAAGACCCTCCAGACGCTGTTGACATAAACGAAAATGAAAAAAACGGTGAAGATTTGGAAAGCACTAACAAAGTATTGGAGCACGCCGCACAATTGGCCCAAAAATTGTCTCTCTTGGAATCGAAACTCGAATTAGTGATTTTTCGTAATCGTGGTTTCACTTGGGACTAAGATTGGTGTTTTTCAGGCAACGAAACAGAAGGAATTGGCCCAGAAAGAGAAAGAAGCAATGGTGATCAAATACGCAGTTAGCGAGAAGAATTTGCTCGAAATGAGGCATCAAAAGGAACAAATCGAGAAAAAATACAAAGAACAAATAACCGAGAATGAAATTATCCAACACAAAGTCCAAGTGATGTGCTCAGAGAAGTCCAGAATATGCCAAATGCTCGATAACAAATGTTACGAATTCAAGAGTTGCCAACAGGAGTTGGAACAAGCAAAAACCGACTTGAATGCTCTGGAAACAAAGCTTAAATGGTCCCAAAACAACCTAAAAACCGAAATTCAGCTTCACAAAGTGAGTGAGAATTTTCAAAAAACAAATAATCGTGATTACGTTTCAGGAAACTCAAATCCGGCTTGAGGAAGTCAATAGGAAGTGTCAAGAGGCCTCAGATCAGATAGAACAAGCGAGAAAAGACGCCCAGGAGTCAATCAAGTCGTTTCACACATCGCAAGACAACCGAGCGCATGTTTTGGACCAACAACTGAAGGAATTACAAGCAAGTTTGATCCTCCTCAAACACGAAAAAGATGACAAGGAGCAACAAACCAAATCACTCAATTCCCAACTCGAGAAGCTTCAAAGCAAACAAAAAGACATGTTGCAAGAAAACAACGATCTCTCCCTCAAAGTGCAACAGTTGGAGCGCGATCGCCTGGAAAGCGAGCAAAAACTGAGCGATTTCAAGGCTTGTGCTGATCAGCAACGCCAAGACTGCGCCGATTTACAAGCCAAAACGGCGCTTTTGGACCAGTTGAAGCTGCAATTGAGGAACGAACAAGACCAAAATAGGGTTTGCAATGACCAAATCGGGCTTTTGAAGCAGCGAAATGCCGAGTTGGAGGCCGATATTCTGGCTTGTAGGGAGCGAGAAGCCGAGTTGTTGCTCTTCACGCAACAATTGACCGAGAAAAATGTGAGATTGCAGTCGGAATTCACGGCTTTGGAGACCAAAGTGCAGCAATTGACTTGTGAGCAGGCGATACTCAAGCGCTCGCTTAAGGAACAGGAGACGAAAAATGGGGTTTTTTCGGCGCAAATGACCGAAGAAAGGGCGAAATTAGGCGAGGAAGTTGAGGGTTTGAGACTGGAATTGAGTGAAAGTCGGGGGTTGTGTGAGAAGTTGAGAGAGGAAGTGGGGGACCACAAAGGGGAAAATAAATTACTGAAACGGAAGTTTGAATTGTCACTGAGGGAGGTGAACAAGGAGTTGCAACAGTGTCGCAAAAAACTTGAACAGTTTGAAATGGAAAATCAGAGTAGTAGTAGTTCCAATTCGTCGCTAAGTGTTGGCTCACCTGCGACAGAACAAGTGAAGGTTGGTTACCTGCAGGGCCGTAACCAGGATTTTATTTCGTTTTCTTGTTGGACACGTTTTTATTTTACATTGAAATAAGAGATCCTAATTAAACATAAAAAAATACATATTAACTCACAAAAGTAATAACAAATAAAATAAATTTTTAATACTTTTTATTGTTACAAATTTAAACAGGAGATAGAATATTCATTTTTTAACAAAAATTTTCTATGAACATATATCGAAAAATGCTACGCAAGGGGTGCGTCTTTTAATAGGTTTTTTTTCAATATTTCCGAAATTATTTTAGAAAAAAATTTCAAAATTTGGTACAGATGATAACTTTTATACACCTAAACAAGTACAAAAATAAAATGTTGAAATTTTTAATTAGGGGCTTCCTAAACTAGATGGGATTAGGGTAAAAAATTTACTCTAACTATATTGCCTTGGTTTCTTGCCACTCAGCAACAAAATTTCATACTTTTTCATAAAAAAAGGCCTTTTGTGTTTTTTTTATACAATTTACGGATTTTTAGTAAAAATCGGTTTAAAAATTTATGTTACAGACCCTAAACAACATAAAAATTAAAAATTAAATTTGTTTTACCGTTGAGGACGCCCCTGATTAAAAATTTTGTTATTTGGCATTTGTTTAGGTGTACATATAAATGTACCAAATTTTGTAATTTTATCTATTCTGAAATATTAGGAAAAACCCTTTAAAAAACGTGCCTTCTTTAGGGGGTGTAGCGCCCTTTCATAGCATTTTTCGAAACACTTTTGTCTTAAAATTAAATATTCTATCAACTATTTAAATTTGTACCTAACAATAAAAATGAAACACTAAATAATTAACACTAGATAACCCCCTTGGGTACGGCCCTGGTTACCTGTTTGTTTTTTTAATTGTAATTGTTTTTGTCAGGTTATCCAGCCTGATCCCGGTTTGGACCGCCAAACCCTCATTGAGCACATTGTTAAATTGCAACGAATAAGTGCGAGGAAATCCGAGAAACTCGATTTTTTGGAGGAGCATGTCAACACTTTAGTTTTAGAATTGCAGAAGAAATCGCGGCTTTTGCAAAGTTACATCTTGAGAGACCAATCCGGGACTTTAACTTCCAACACCATGGATAATAATAAGGTGCGATTTGTTTAATTTGATAATTGTAGCCTGGTTTGTTGTGATTACGGAGAACTACACACTAGGAGACGAAACGAGATACAAAATTGCTCGATTTTTTTTTTAATTTTAAATCAAATTAAATTCAATCGGTCTGGAAAAAATGCAAAAATGTTGAGCTTTACATTCTTAATAAGCTGCAAAAAACGAACGACTAAATTTTTCACGAGAAATATGAGAAAAAAATACTGGCTGCCCTTTATTTCAGTAAAGAAGGTAACGAAATACGATTTCTTTTGGACGATAGACATTCATTTTTTTCTATGGTCCAAAAATATTTTCGTCATTATAGGTAATTCCTATATAGGTTTTTTGCTTAAACTATTTATTTTTTTAAAACTAATTGATGAATTAAATGTTTTATCAAGAATAAAATTTTTCGAATTTTTTGTTTTTGAGTTCTACAAATGTTTTATTTTTTTTTAATGGCAATCCACTAAAAAAATGTTTTGTATACTCTCCCAAAAATAACTGTGTTGGAGACTATCTACTTTTTATTAATTTAAAAAAAAATACATTAATTACAATTTTGACAAAAAAAATCGCTTAACTCAAAGCTAAACAAAATTTCGTTTTGAAAATACGATCAGATTTTTTCTATTACTTTATTTTATATTAATTATTATTTTCCAGAGGCAAATAATTAAAAAAAAAACCGTTTGGTTCTAAACTTTATATTCACCCTGTATAAAATGAATTTAAAGAGGATACTAATTCTTTGAGTCCGGCTTACGAATTATTAGTTGTTTTCTCTTTAAAATATTTTGTAATCGGAATATTTTTCTTAAACTGTCCAATTTTTAACTTGAATTGAAATTTGTGATTTGAAGAAAATATGCACAAATATGCATTATTTCCTAAAACATGCACCAAGTTGCCAAAATATGCATTTTTTATTTAGCTTATTTTAATCAAAAAACATTAGATATGCATAGAAAACTTATAATCATCTTGAGTGACATGTTCGTGTTTCAAATAAAAATAAACAACTTATTTTTTGCAAAATTTAATATCCTACTATATTGTCAAAAACAAAAAAATTAAGAATGAAAACACTAATTGTTAATAAAGAAGTAATTAAAAAAGAAAAAACAAAAGTAAATTATATTTTATTAGTTATTATTACATTTTTTATGTATACAGGGTGGTTCATAACTCGTACCTCAGAGAAAAATACCAAGTAAGACAAGAAA